GTTTATTCCCCTAGGGCAGCAACATGAGTAACTCTAGTTAAACTAGTTAGAGCAACTTAGACATTAATTGAGCTTGTCTCAGAAAACTGTTTGAAAAGTAAAGTAGGCATTTATTAGGATAAACAGTTGCTGCTCGTGAGCCTCGGCTCCAATTCAAGCTAGAATTTCCTAAACGGGCAAGTCGCACTAAGGGGCAGGGTAGGCGATGTCACATTCTAGCACGATATGCCTTGATAGGGTACGGAATAAAAACGAATTTGCCCAATTTAGTTTGATCCGTGCGTACAAGTTTCTTGCACTTTGAGTCCTGGAAATAGCCGATATACCCCCCAATGACTTTTGCATGGTTATTAGGTCCATGGAAGCTGGAGCCCACACGATGGCAATGGAAGTCGTTGGAGTTATAAACCTCCGTTTTTCCCGCTGAATTCCTAAGGGTGACTTGAAGAGCAGCATTGCAAAGCGCAAACAGGCAGCCGAGAATCGTGAGAACAAGGTAGAAGCGCATTGTAGGTGTAAAAGAGAGAGAGAGAGAGAGAGAGAAGTAAGTGGGTAATGATGGATAAACTCCAACAGCCGCCAGATCACAGACGGGCTGCATTTTATACGGCGACCAGCTCAAGAGTTGGTGGATGGTAAAGATATTTTCCATTTTCGCGACAAGAAGCATGCGACTTCTGTTTGTCTCTTGTGCAGCAACAACACGCGATCCTCATTTCTAGAAAATTTGACACATGGGCAAGATCGGCAAAAAAGCACGTTTTCGCCAAGCAATACACAGAAAAAACAACACATGGAACTAAAAACAGGGGCTTCAGATGAACACATGTTTTATATCTGATTATCTCGAACTCACACAACCTAGGCTGGATTGAAGCCATTGGTGGCAGCTACATTTGTCACAACTTGCAAAAGAGCTGCAATGCATGCACCATGAGACGTATTGTAGAAAGTGAAAAACATTCTGTTGGCAGATCAGCCAGTTGCCTACAGAGAGGTTGTCCGCATGGTAAGCAAAAAAACGAATATGATCGGTGGGGCTCTCCAAGAGCACCAGTACCCGAAACTGGCGTTTTAAAATTAGGAAGGTCGAGTGGAGGACAGTAGTAAGAGAAGCAGAAGTACTGTAAGAAATGCTGAAAACAAGTATTTCTGCAAGCTTCAAAAAAGTGATAATTTTATTCAAGCCAAAAAAAATAAAAAAGTTTTGACCAGAGTGGGATTCGAACCCACGCCTCCGAAAAGACCAGGGCCTAAACCTGGCGCCTTAGACCAACTCGGCCATCTGGCCTTAGCGTTTTGGACTAACCGTCCGACTTTCTTATACTTTGATTATCCCATAAGTAGTGATAAAAGGCATATAGTAAAATCGAATTATAGTGGGGCTGGCGCTTCTCACCCCGGCTCGTGTTGGTGGTTTAGTCCAATGCTTGGGGCTGAGGAGGGAGAGCTGCCAACTCCCATGGTGTACTATGAATCCGTCAAT